TATATATATATNTATATATATATATATATGTATGTATGTATGTATGTATATATATATATATATATATATTTATATATATGTATATATATATATGTATGTATATGTTGTGCTCACTAAACGAAACAACAGTCCTGATTTTACATACCGTTTTGGCATCATTGTTTAGAAATACCAAGGCTTTCAGAATCTGGTGCAGCCCCCATTGGCACTCTATCTGCATCTGCTTGGGAGTCTGTTGGAAACAGATATATATTAGGCCTGATTAGAACTGTAATTAAAGAACAAACACGTATAATTCATAATTATATCGACACAAATACAAATATACATATATACAAAATATCAAAACCCGAAAATATAAAATATACCATTCAAGGTTTCGTAACGATCTGTTTACTGGTATGTATGTGTGCACAAACATCACTATGGTAAGAAAAACAACAGTTGACAACGGGATGGAAACAGAGTCAAAAACAGGATAAACCCCCCGTCAAAATTATCATTATGGTAATAAAAATCAGCTGAAATTAGGATAGAACGAGTGTCAAAAACAGGACAACCCTCCCGTCAAAAACAGTAACTCAACCCCGAATACGCACCATTGTAAGTGTGGGGTCGGGTTCTTGGTCGCTGGTGCTGTCCGCATTTGTCTGAGCGTGTGCTTTGGCAGTTGCACCCGGCTGCTGTGTTAAAATGTGCTCTGCAAGCGGTACGGAGTACTCGGTTACCATGGTGATGGACACCTCGGTCTCGAAACTGTGCGGGGGATTGGGATGTATGTGAGTCGTCTGATTCGCATGAGAGGCGCACGCGAAGTGACCGAGTATCTGTATAATTATCGGCACACATATGGGTGAACGCATATGTGTGTGTGAGTTTTTGTGAGTGTGTGTTAGTGCCAGATTGTGTATACGACTGATCACACGCATGTGTGTGTGTATGTGTGTGTGCGTGTACGTGTGTGCGTGTGTGCGTGTGTGTGTGTGTGTGTGTGTGTGTGTGTGTGTGTGTGTATGTATGTGCCTGTGATCTACGTTTCGACTTGTATAATTCTCCAGCATAGATGTCCATCAAATAGGCGTATGTTCGCCCGGGCATACAATCACTCTCACGAAAACTATATTTACACACATACTCAGTCATATCAGTACCGTCGACCACATGCTACACATATATTCAGTCATTTCAAACCCATGTACAACTACCTGTCTTATGTACACGCATACTCAGTCATGAGAAGTATCAACCACTTGCTTTACATATATTCAGTCATATGAGTTCTAACAATCCCGTGTACAATACAATCCAATGTACAACTACCCACCTTATATACACACAAACTCAGTCATGAGTAGTATCAACCACTTGCTTTACATATATTCAGTCATATGAGTTCTAACAATCCCGTGTACAATACAATCCCATGTACAACTACCTGTCTTATTTACACACATACTCAGTCATGAGTAGTATCAACCACTTGCTTTACATATATTCAGTCAAGTACTAACAATCCCATGTTCAACTACCTGTCCAGCAATTTCAAAAAATTCGGGTGCCGCAGAGTTTTGGCGCGCTTCAGGGCATTCTTCGCAATGGGCAGCATTTTGGGATTAGCTTTGGCATCGAACAGATAGATCGACACTTGGCTGCCATCTTGTTTGGATTTACCTAAAATATACATTAATATGTGTATTTTGGAGTTAAGAAGGGTTTACTTGGAATAGATGCATGTGCATTTGGAATGGAAATTTAAAATAGTATTATAGTTTTAATATGGCATTGAATTCGAACAGATAGATCGACACTTGGCTGCCATCTTGTTAGAATTTACCTATAATATACATCGTGGGTGTATTATGGAGTTAAGGAATGGGAATTTGGAATAGTATTATGGGATTGGTATTGGCATTTTTTAGAAAAGGAATATAGAATTCAAAATGGCATTCGAGTCGAATTATTAAACCATCACTTGGCTTCCATTGTGCATGAATTCACGGTATACAAAAATGCGTGATCAGGACCTACGCTAAAACATCAATCTCCAGAAGTTTAATAGAATTTAAATTAGTCTTGTTATCGACCAATTAGATCATCAACTGGTTACACTATTCCTAGACATGCATGAGATATACACGTATGCATGAGAATTACAAGTGTTCCGAGTCAAGTTGAGCTTAATATCATACAAATCTCTCGAAACTTTAAAACCTCAAAGTGTCAATATTTATACAAACATATATATATATATATAATATATATATATGTGTGTGTGTGTGTGTGTGTGTGTGTGTGTGTGTGTGTGTGTGTGTGTGTGTGTGTGTGTGTGTGTGTGTGTG